CAGGTTCTCTGTTCGAGTCCATTGGTCTATGTCTGTCTGTGGGCCAGTACTACACTGTCCTTTTGATTACTGTAGCTTTCTAGTAAGGTTTGAAGTTCAGAAGCATGAGTCCTCCAACTTTATTCTTTTGTTCTGGCTACAGTAGTAGCTTCTGAATAGAACTCATAATAGTACGTAAGACCTAACACAACCTTAAAGATTTGCTATGCGGTTCTGACAAATCAAGATGTACAACTACTGCATGTCTTCAAAAAGCCGAAGACTTTTTTTGTTTCCCAGATGGTTGTTGTATTAGTATCCTTTCGCTGCTGTAACAAATTTCCACAAATTTAGTGGCTTCATTATCTTACAGTTCTGGAGGTCAGAAGTCCTAAAATAAGGTGATCTGGGTTGGATCCTTCTGAAGGCTGTAGAGGATGATCTGTTCTTGCCTTTTCCAGCTTTTAGATACCTCCTTTGTTTCTCTGCTCACAGGCCTCTCCTCTGTCTTCAAAGCATGTCACCCCAACCTTTGCTTCTGTTATGTATCTCCTCCTTTTGCGTTTGACTCTTGCCGCCTTCTTATAAGGACCCTCGTGATTACGTTGGGGATACCCAGATAATCCGGCATAATCATCCCATCTCCAGATCCTCATTTTAATCATACCTACAAACTCCCTTTGGCATGTAAGGTAACATAGTCACAGGTTCTGGGACGTAGACCTCTTTGGGGGCCCTTCTGCTGCCTACTGCAGTCATGATGAGTCTGGGAGATAATGGACACACAGAACCTCTAAAGTGCCCTTTTGTTTTCCGTATTAGTCTCCCTTGTAAATAGAGATTAGTTGTCCAATTCTAGGATTTGGGGTATAAATCAGTTAATTTAACAGAACCTCAGTTTTTGTTTTTTTTTTTTTTTTTTTACCTCTGGAACATTCATTTTTTCTACTGATGCTATGATTCCTTGAGTCAGCCAATATTTATTGAGTCCTATTTATTGTTAGTTTGCCTGGGAACACAAAATGAATGAGATATGACCTCTGACCTTAAGGACCTTACGGTCTGCTGGCGGAGAGAGATGTTACTGGAATATAATACAAGTTTTGTTGATTTTGTTTCCTAAATATATTTAGAATTCTTCTCTTCCCCTCTGTCATTCCGCTTGTTTTTTCACTTGTTTCTGTGAGTTCTGAAAAAATTTTACCAAATTTTTCTTGACCTCAGTTGGGCTCACACACTGTTTCCTTCAGTCCGTTACTGTACCCACAGATGTGCTCACGTCACCCCTTTGCCTAGAACCCTTCCGTTCCAGGCCTCTGGGTGAACTGGATAACGCTCAACATGTCCTACTCCTTGATGTGGTCTCGTGTTGTGCTTCTTCCAGCCTCTTCACCTGCCATCCCTGGAAGCACTGCTGTCCTAGCCGTATGGAATAAATAGTGCTTCCCCTGGAGCTCTGGGCTCTCTCTTGGCTTCTGACTCTGGCAGAGCTCCTCTCACTCACTGGACTCTATTCCTCTTTTTTCTCTGCCTGAGAAATTCCTGTGCAGCCCCAAGCCTGGGCTCAAGCAGTGCTTCCTAGAAAGCCTGCATGGAGACCGTCCCCAGTGCTATGGTTTGACCACCCTGGGACTCTGCAGAGAGCCCCCTCCAACAAAAAGGCCCTCACCAGATGCTGCCCCTTGACCTTGGGCTTCTCAGCCTTTATTACTGTAAGAAATAAATTTATTTTCCTCTGTGTATCATGGGAGGCAGTTCATTGGTCTGTATTGTACTTACTGCTTAATTCGTCTGTTATTCAAACCAGACTGTAAATTCAATTAGGTACAACAGGATTGCTCTTTTAACTCCATGCTCTTGTATATGATAGAGTGTGAGCCTCATAAAAGATACTTAACTAAGTATTGGTTGAATGAATGCTTGAATCCATGCATATGCGAATGATTTAATACAAAATGACCTGCAGATTTGTGCAAGACATGTGGTTTGCTATTCCTGTGTGGATCCTAAGCTCAAACGGATGCTGGTTAGTACTTGGTTTCTCCTCCCTATGTACTATTTCTCATGAAGAAGCTAAATCTAACTTTCTCTGTGATTAAGTACATGAATTAAAAAAAAAAAAAAAGACTTATCCCTGACAGTTATTTAACAGATTAGAGTTATGTAGAGTTCCTACTCTGAGGCCATTTATTTTATAGGGCACGAAGTCTGTGGCACGAAGACAGAGCAAGTCTGAGTGATATTCCTCTCACCATAAGTATAAATCCAAAACGGTGGCTCTCTCACACTTGAGTGCCCTCAGCACAACCCTGAATAGTTGTGAGGGCTCAGTAAGTGCATGCTTTAAAATTCTTTTGAATAAACATTGCTTTGAAAGACACTGCTTCTGTTAGAAAATTATTAGAATATTACTATAAAAGTATATTCTTACAGGATTTGTGCCACAAGTAAATAAATAAATAGATAGATACCCCTATGGCTTTTTTTGTTGTTGTTAATAAACAAAACAAATACTTTCAGATATGAAATCTGCCTTTCCTGAGGGTTTAATTTTTTTCTACTAAAAAGGCAGAGATTAGATTTTTTTTGGTTTAAAAAAAGAGAAATTTAATCTTATGGAGTAGTAAGTCTAAGGTTACCCCTAGTAATAGAATTTGATTATTTATTTTGGGGTGGGGTGAGGATTGGAGACCGACAGTATATGGAGTACAGAGGGGAACACTTTCTCCGATCACATTAATTAATAATGCTAAATTTTGTTTTTTAACTTGCTGGTGCTGTCAGATCAAATTTAGGGCATTTGTTGAAAAACACACACGCAAGACATATTTGGGACTTCATACTCTGATATATGATTTTTAAGGTATAACAAGACTTTTTACAGCTAATACTAAAGATAATACTAGTGGAACTGTTCTTCCCTACTCCTGATGTTTCCCTCCGGGTGGCAGGAACTCTACTCTCGAAGCACTCCCGGCTGCATTCTCTCTGCCAGGGCAGGAGCTGCTGGGAGGACGTGCAGAGCACGCATAGCCCAGCCCTTTCCCTGGGGAACTAACTGCCTATGGGAAGCCTGCTCCTCCATCCTGTGAGTTTTACAGCAGCACCCAACATATAGGAGGCCTTGTGGTTTTCTAGTGCAGCTGTGACTGGGTGGGTGAGTCTGTTTAATTCTGCGCTTCAGCATTATCGAGCTCATTGTTCCTGCACACCTAAACCATATGCTGCAGTCTCAGGCTGTTAGTAATACAGGTGGTATTTTGACAGTCTGTCTGCCTTTCTTTTTGAACTCATCTCTCAGGTGGTCCAAATCTTGGGTGGGGATGTGTGGTGCCAGTTATTATGACAGTGTCCTTGCATACATCTGTAAGTTCTCACAACAGCCCTGCAAGTGAGTTGTAGCGACTCCTTCTCACACCTGAGGAAAGTGAGGCTTTCCAAAGGTTAAATCACTTTGAATCATCACATTAGGTTGGCAGCCTGCTCAGGCTAACTCCCAAACTTGTGTCCATGGTGAGCACATGCTGCCAATGAAAATATCATAGATAAAAACTTTTAAAAGGACTTTGCATATAAGTCGCCAAGTAATACAGATGAGTTTTATTCCTTTGTAGCCTAGTATTTTCATAGCTATAAATGCAAACGTTTTAATACAGCCTGCAAGTCCCTGAATGCAGAGGTGCTTGCCCACCTCCCCCAGTTCCCCTGGCTGCCCTAACTTCCTCCAAAGCTTCGACTCTTTCTAACCGTCCTGGGCTTCCTGCACTGTTTTCTATTACTAGAATGCTTTTCCCCTCACACCCTTCCCCTTTGCCTAGTTAGCTCCTACTTACCCTTCAGATCTCAGCTCACAGGTCACCTCCTCAAACTGGCCTCCCAAGGCCACCATATCTGTAGTTGGTCCACGATGTGATTTCTGTTAGCCATCTGGTTTTTGCCTTCACCACCACCCTGGCCATGATTTGTGATCATGTGTTCTTTTCAAGCCTGTGCTCCCCAGCCAACTGAAGTCCCGTAAGCACAGTAACCACTTTTGTTTTGTTCACCATTGTGAGCATAATGTCTTGACAGTGATAGCACCGCAAGAATGGTTGCTGGATGAATAATGGATGTACTACTTGGCATCATGTATTAGCCTTGAGGTCTTTGTCCATAGTTTTCTACTAATACTTACCAATAACATGTTTAAGATAGCCTCTTTCCTGATAATTGTAAAATATAGATAGATAGAACTGAAATCTATAGCCTCCTTTTAAGGCTTTAAACTATTAGAATCAAAGAATGGATTTCTAAGTGTGCATAAAAGGCCTACTTGGTATTAATATATGGGGATGATCAAAGACAAAACTGCCCCAATGCTGGAACCTGCTTTATGTGGTCCTGGGGATATGAGATGTAGAGAAGAACTTCTCTTGTTACATTTCAATGTCACTTAATTACAATTAAGCATCTACTTTAACCTGGTTTTTGTGTATCCAGGAAGAACATCATAGAGGTTGAACTGGTCTTTTAGGCCTGTTCAATAGGGAATACTCTAAAACCTAACTTACATTTTAATGTTATTCTTAATAAGTTGTTTATTAGCTCATATATGAAATCAGGTCAATAATACGGTAGTGGGTGAGTTAATCTTGTTTTCTAGCCAAGCATAAAAAAAATAAAATAAAAAAGTGTTATGAAAAGACCAAATGTTGATAGTTTGGGAGCAAGATAAAGAATTTTTCCATAGTTTTTTCTCCCCCTGTTGCACTAATCTAACATAATTAATATCTTGAAGGGACAAAAGCAAGAAATGTCTGCATATTTAATTTTGCATCCCTCAGTCTTTAAAGTGTTGATGACGGCAGAATTTCAGTTTCCTGGCCAGCTGTTCTCATGGAACAACTGCCCATGGGTGTAATAAACAACTGAACCAAGATCTGCATGAAAATAACATTGACAGTTTGCCATGAGATGTCTTACTGTTTTGAAATGACAGCTGATATTGCTTCTTTTTGTCCTCCCCACACCTGATGATACAGGGCATCGATGTACGAGATGCTCCTCTGAAGGAAATAAAGGTGACCAGCTCCCGACGATTCATAGCTTCATTTAATGTTGTGAATACGACAAAACGCGATGCTGGAAAGTACCGCTGCATGATTCGCACAGAAGGAGGTGTTGGAATATCAAACTATGCAGAATTGGTAGTTAAAGGTATTTAATGTGTTTTTACACCCCAAAACAATCTATTAAAATGATATGCTAGATGGTTTTTTGTTCATTATTTTTTTAAAGCTCAAACTTATCCTTGTGTGTTTCTCAACAGTGGTTCGGTGACAAGCTATTTTGATGGATCACATTTTAAGTACAAATTTTGCACGCGCACAGTATTTTTGAAAAATGTATTTATTTATGTTGATTTAGTTGCATACAAAGCAATGAATGTGCTCCTGGCAAGGTCTTCTGCCAACTCTATATACAGAGATTACAGCCTATAAATTTTTTTAAGGAATAAAATTTTTTACTGATAGAAAATCACTTAAAATGCAAATATTCACCAGCCAGTGTGTTTATGATAGCAGGGTGGTTAATAAAATGAAGCAGTGTCAGTATAAAAGTGCCCAATCATATCATACAAGCCATATTGATAATACTGCGTTAACATTCATAATGTTCCAGTTAGGTTCTATTACTATATTTTGCATGACTGAAAAATTGAGTCTTTACACTCTAGAAGGTGGGGAGATGAGGGAAAATAGGGGAAATAGGTTTCCTTTCGCTGGTTTAATGCATTTTTGTGGGCTAAGGAGTTTATAGTGTTAAGCTGCTAAGGCAATTTTTGGTCCCAAACAGAGTAATTTGAACTTGGAGATGTACCTGGAGGCTTTTTACACAACTTGTGGCAGGCCATTGCTGTTTTTCCTAGGAGAAAAGAATGATGCCTGCTTTTAAAATTTTTTCCCTGCATTTTTGAAATGTGAAGCATAAAATTGATCTCTTTTAGATGGGCTGTTTCTTTTATCAGCAAACTTCTTATGCAGGCAGTTTTAAAGACTGCTAGGTTCAGATCCAAGAACTAGCTCTGTGGGCATGGGTCAGTGGCTTGCCCTCTCTGTGCTTCTGTTTCCTTGTGTGTAAAGTAGATACAATAATTTTATCTTACCTTATAGGGCCACGAGGAGGATCAAATGCAAAGCACATGTGTGTGGCGCTTAGAACAGTGTACGTAGTGTGCAACTGGCACTTGTCAGGGCCGTGCTGGGGGAGGAGGAGAGGACAGTCGGGGATGATCTTCTCTCTGGTCCATCATATCACTGGTCTTCACTGGGGAATACATGTCATAACTCCCTTTCCAAATTTAAAAAAAATATATAAACGACTGCCCACCTATTCTCCCCTCCTGCCTCCCACCACCACCTACATTGAATTAGGATCTCAAGGGATGTAGCCTGTGTTATAAAACCTGTAAGTGAGTTGGGCATATGCTTCTGTTGTGAGATCACTGCTGCCAATATCAGGCGCATGTAGCTTGTGGGAGAAAATGCTTACCAATGAGCCTGGGGCGAGGATTATCAATCTGCAGCGGTGACTAATGGTCAGCATAAGGAAGTGCGCACTGAAATATCTACTTGAATAATGTATTTTGCCACATCATATTCTTTTGTGTTTTGGTTTGTGGTGAAACTTGAACTAGCTTCAAGTTTGACTAATATTTGAGTTTAGGTTTAATGTCTATAATAAAATTAAAATTCTTCATAGTTGTACATACCCTACACTGTCGAAGCCTGTCTGGGAAGTGAGGAGTCACAACGTAGAAAGTGGATGCTACTTCACCAACAAATTACTGGCTTGGTTTAGGATTAGTTTTAGGGTGTCATTTCACTTTGACTTGAATTAAGAGATATTTTAAATTGCTGTTTATCACTTTGTATAGATTGAGAACCCTCCCTCCCTCCCTCCTTTCCCTCCTTCCACTCCCTTCCTTTGGGAAAATTTGTTCAGAATTTAAGTACTGCCTTATTCTTGTGCTGTTTCTTCCATACACCAAAAGTCCTTTTGAATGCCTGTCCCAATTTTTTCTAGGTTGTAGTCGAATCTTTCATTTGATTTGGCATATCTGGTACTTTTCGTAATGGGGAATTAATATAGAAAATATTCTCAGGACAAAAATGCTTTAAATCCATGTCTAGTTTAGGATACTAGTGACAGTATCTTAAATGAGTGAGTGTACTCAGGACCCTTTGTGACCTTGCCCCTGACTCGTATTTTGAATGGCAGTTCAACAACCTTGCTCACATTTGCAACTTGGAAGTAATTAACTGCTCTTTCAGCCTGGCTGCAGAAATGCCTTAGGACGTCCTATAAAAGGCCCATTTCATGTTTCAGTTCAAGGAATCTCCTAATGATATAAATTGATGTTAAATCATTGTGAGTTAAGTCAGCACTGTTTAAAGAAGTGAAGAACCAGCACAAAGTTTCAGCTTGTAAATAGTAGGAACAATGTTTTAGTAAATGCCCATTATGTTTGTAGTCCCTCAAATAAAATTCATTCAAAATCTGGTGTCTTATTTTGACTTAGTCTAGTGCCATTTCTCCAGCCGTTTAAAAAAGTCAATATGATTTGTCACACCTTGAAATATAAAAAAGAATAGGCACCCCATCCCAACAAAGGGAACTAATGTTGCTGGTTTATTAGTTGCTCTAGGAATCAACCTGGTATCTCTCAAGTGATGCTAGTTTTTTTGAGGCCCTATTAAGCAGGAATCATGGCTGTGATCCTATTGGCTGTGTCTGCCATGCGAGAGGGCAGGAGTAGTTGCAGGAAGCCAGCATGTGCTAGTAATAGGATGTAGTATACTCTATTTTGTGTGCATTTGTATAAGCAAAATGATGAGTTAAAAAATAAAATATATCAAAAAGGCACCAAACCACCTGTAGAAACATTCTTGGAAAAAGTAACCAGATCTTATGTTTTTCTGAGATGGCAATTCATCAAGGTAGAAATATGTTGTTTTGTACAGTGATTTTATTTATCATGTATGATACCACTCACAGTGACACTGGCATATGGAATACCTTCATTTGGTGCTTGGAGAGCCTTTCAACTAGCATCTCACTAATATACCGGGAAAACTATTTTTGTTGAGATTGACAATGACGTGGAAAAAGAGTCAGTCTCAGGTTTTAAATGAGAGAGACTTTGGGTTGTAAAGAATGTTTGCTATTGATTTCTTAGATTTTTATCAAGCTGGGGATAGCTTGTTCTTTGCTTCAGAACTTTCCTTTCTATTCACTGCTTTAATAAGACTTATTACTGGAAGTTTTCTGAATGACAGCAACAGAAGACTTTATTATCCAGAACGCTCGATTCTCCCGCAGCTGAATGCGTCCATTGTGATAGTCTTGTAGGAAGCGAGTCATCTTAGAAAATGTATTTATGATGAGATAAACTATAATTTCAACCATGTTTTTAAGGTGATGATATCTTTGGAATATAAATATAAGGAACCTGAATTCAGCGATGTAGGAAACTAGTAGTACCTTTGATTTTTAAGATATTCTTAATAAGGAGGTTGACAATTGAATGCTTCCTAGAGCTTAAATACTACCCCTTGAGAGAGCTTTCCCTGGTTACTTTTAGTGAGGAAAAAAGTTGTCCGATGTCTGTGTAATTGACTCACTCAAATGAGTACACCCATTCATTTAAGATATTGTTACCAGTATCCCAAAATAGACACAACTTTAATGCATTTTTGTCCTGAGAATATTTTCTATATTAATTCCCCATTAAGAAAAGTGCCAGCTATGCTAATTTGCATGTGCTATGCAAAATGGGTTGTGGCCTAAAACAAATTAGGGATAAAGCTACTTGAACAAGCTTAGGTGTTCAAAGGTGGTTTATTTCACAACTGTGAATGTTGTGAAAACCTTTATCAGTATGCTTTTTCTTTTTGTCTTTTCTTTTTTTTTTTTTTTGAATGTACCACATATTTTTTATTCATTCACCTACTGAAGGACATCTTGGTTGCTTCCAGTTTTGGGTGATTATGAATACAGTTGCCATAAATATTTGTGTTCAGGCTTTTGTATGAACATGAGTTTTCCAATCAGTTGGGTAAATAGGAGTGTGATTGCTGGATCATATGTTAAGACTGTATTTAGCTTCATTTAAAAAAACCCATCAAACAGTCTTCCAAAGTTGTGGTACCATTTTGCATTCCCACCAGCAATGAATAAGAGCTCCTGTTGCTCTGCTTCCTGGCCAACAGTTGATATTGTCAACTTTTTGAATTTCAGCCATTCTAATAGATGTATAATGATATTTATTTTATTTCAGAATATTATGGGAGTACAAACATTTTGGTTACATATAGTGCGTTTGCCTCGCCCATGCCAGGACTACAAGCGTGCCCCTCCCCCATATAGTGTGCTCCGCATCCATTAGTTGTGAGTTTACCCACCCCCACCACCCATTCCCACTTGACCAGCACCCAGTGAATCTTACTTCCATGTGAGCACCATAGTGTTGGTCAATTAGTACCAATTTGATGGTGAGTACGTGTAGTGCTTGTTTTTCCATTCTTGTGATACCTCACTTCAAAGGATAGGCTCAAGTTCTATCCAGGATAATATAAGAGGTACTGGTTCACCATTGTTTTTGTAGTTGAGTAGTATTCCATAGTATACATTTACCACATTTTATTAATCCACTTATGTATTGATGGGCCCTTGGGTTGTTTCCACATCTTTGCAATTGTGAATTGTGCTGCCATAAACATTTGAGTGCAGATGGCTTTAGTATAGAATGTCTTTTTTTCCTTTGGATAGATGCCTAGTAGCGGAATTGCTGGATCAAATGATGGTTCTACTTTTAGTTCTTTGAGGTATCTCCACCTACTTTCCATAGAGGTTGTACTATTAATAGTTTGCAGGCCCACCAGCAGTGTAAGAGTGTTCCAATCTCTCCATATCCACACCAGCATTTGTTATTTTGGGACTTTTTGATAAAGGCCATTTTCACTGGAGTTAGGTGATATCTCACTGTGGTTTTGATTCGCATTTCCCTAATGATTAGAAATGTTGAGCACTTTTCTACATGTTTGCTGGCCATTATTCTGTCTTCTTTTGAAAAGTTTCTGTTCAAGGCTGACACACAGATTTGGGAGTATGCTTTTTCTTAATAAACTGAACAAAACCATCCTCGTCAATTCATTCCTGAAATGTTAATGTCTCCTGCATTTTAATAATTGATGCGTGTTAAGCATCTGAAAGACGGCTCTCTGGTTTGCCTTTCAGAGCCCCCTGTTCCCATTGCTCCCCCCCAGCTTGCCTCCGTGGGAGCCACCTACCTGTGGATACAGCTCAATGCCAACTCCATCAATGGGGACGGGCCCATTGTCGCCCGAGAGGTGGAGTACTGCACGGCCAGTGGGAGCTGGAATGACAGGCAGCCAGTGGATTCCACGAGCTACAAAATTGGACACCTCGACCCGGATACCGAATATGAGATTAGCGTGCTCCTCACCAGGCCTGGGGAGGGTGGCACTGGATCTCCTGGGCCAGCTCTCAGGACAAGAACAAAGTGTGCCGGTGAGTGTGAGGAACCTGCAGCTAAGTGTCATTGTCTTTCTGGGTGTTGACTGGCAGCATTGGGGTTGATCAGGTGGCCAACACGCTTCCCCCCTGCTCTATCTACATCCTGTAAGTGAACAAAAAAATCCCCATAGCATGTGAACAGTTGGCTGACAGCTTCTGATCTTTGGGAGCAGTGACCTTGGGTGTGGTATCTCTCGCCCTGCCTCCACCCCTTTTCCATATTCTTAATTTGCATGTGACTCGGGTACCACACAGTTCATACAGGAGTTGTCCTTAATGTTCACAGAAATGATCTCCTTTAATGATGTCCTCTGATAGGTCAGACCTTCTCGTGTTCTGGTCCCTTTGTTTTATGTTTACAGTTACTGTGCTTGTAGCTGGGAGGGGCTGTGGGATAATGATTCCATCTTAGAGCTTAAAAGCCATGTTTTTATTGATGGGCGTTTAATGCAGGGTCTGCTGGCCAATGACTTGGGCCATTGTAACATAAGCAAGAGTGATTTGTGGGCTAGATGCAGTCTTTACGTTCTTAGAGTATAAATTTCTAATTGTGTTAAACCCGTTCTTCACCTTAAATAAAAGTAGGGTTGATGGAGAGAGAAGTGTAAAGTCTTACAAAAATCAGAACCTGAAGAAAGATCCCACGAGAGGTCATGTGTTGTTTCTGTGTGGCTGCTATCTGGTAGGAAGCAGAGCAACATAGCATACTGGGATGCTGAAGTGCTGTTTTTATCATGTCAATGAAAAACTTCTACATTGAATTGTATGCTGCAATGAGGAGATGCCATCAATTTTTATGGAGTTAGTTAATTCTTCAGATAGCATTATTTAAGAAGTCATTTATTACTATGTTTTAAAAATACTTTGCACAGTCTGGCCCTATCTGGTAAGAGTAGAAGAAGTTATTAAACCTTAACAATTGTAGTGTTATATTGTTTCCCCAAGTCGAATACTCATGGGAAAATTCTGTTTAAAGAAAAAAAGATTTTTTATTAGAGAAGGGAACAGGAACTTTTTTCTTCTGGGGATGCATGCTGTTGAGTGCAGTGACTGGCCGTGTGCGCAGACTCTGCGTCGCTGCTGTGCCCATCTTGCACCTGGTTCCCAGACCCCACACCCACACCTTCCTGGCCCCTCCGTGCAGAGCGCCTGGCATGAAAACTGCTGTCCCGGATGGCGATTCACACAGCCCTGCCTGGTGGTTCTGCGGAGAAAGGAGTTTCCTAACCCTTTCTCTTCCTTTCTTCTCTAAACCTCATCATCTCCTCCCTTTAGCTGAGTAAATTCCTTCCTTTTTGTGAAATATTTTTATATTATTTTATCATCTGTTGTAATGCAGACAAAAACTCTTTATAACATGGCTTATATTATTTTACAATATAGGAATTGCTTTCAAACCTGTTGTTTATTTCACACCTGCCTGTGAAGTCCCCAGGGCAGACACTGTGATCCCCATAGTAAAGACGGGGAAGTGAGGCCCGTGTGAGATCCTGTCCACCTCTTGATTTGTCCTCCTCTGTAAAAAATAGTGATATTTCACTTTAGTTTTTTTTTAAAAAAATCATTTTGGGCATGGCAATATATAGTTTCTCTGTCTCTCTCTCTGAAAGAAGGTTGGAATGTCATTGTCTAAATTATGGAGAGAATGTGATCTGTTTTATTCTGGACACTAGTAGTGTCATCTGCTTAATGTTCCAAGTCTTGTTCTTTTTTACATGTTTTTGTCTTTTCTTTTGGTTTTTTGCCTGTACATTTCAGCGACTGGCACGTTGCTGTATATATTTCTCTTGATTATAATGCACGTGTATCTGTTTTCAGGAAGCCTTTTGATACTGCTGCGTGACGTAATGTACAACTCTCAAAGGGACAGGGTACCTTTTATAACAGGTTGACCGTGCTTTTCAAGAAAGGAAACCAATTTTGAATTGATGTTTGTATGCTAACTTTGTGCCTTAAAGTTCTAACCCTCACCTAGGCAAGGCAGCCTAGTGATAAAGCGCCCTTCTCTGTCACCGTTTGCACCCTGCAGTTGGCACTGTTCCTGGTGCACATTCCTGGCATGCCACGCGCTGGCGTTGAATATTTTTCAAAAAGTTGTAGTTGAGCGAGTCAACCTTAGGAAATAGAGAGCAGTATGTTAGAGAGAGTCAAATTTAGAAATAATAGGGGTAAACTTGTTAGGTGGGTGAGGAAAGTGAAGTCAATGAGACTTTTTACTGTGGGAAGAAATGTCGTTCGCCATTTCGTGACCTGACGCTTTGGAGAAAATCTGCAGTTAATATTGGTAATTGCTGTTTATGATCTGTGTGGAACTGTGGGAAGTAGGACCGAGTTAGAGGGAAGAAGACAGATGCTACAAATTGTAGACAGAAAAATTTGATATTGATCCCAAACTGTTATTCAGATGATTTCCGAGCGTTTAGGGTTCATAGAGAACAAGTCATGAATCTTATAAGCCTGCAGGAAATTCTAAGCGTTCTGCAGTGGATGGAAAATGTCCGTGGCCAGGCTTAAACAGGGGATGAATCTAATAGGAGGATAAGTAATAGGAATAAATGTAAATTCATCGTGTATGGTTTAAAAAGCCAAGGGTACTGGTATGGAATTAGAGTAATAAAATTTAGCAGCAACATGTACAAAGAAGAGATTGAGGATTTGGCCTCGATGAAAATGAATGTGCAGTATAATTCATATTGTATTAATTATCCCTATGATGCTATTGCCTTACCATACCACCCTGCAGAAAAGATAAAAACAAACAAACAAACAAAAACCCTAATATAATCATAGGTTACATGAGTAAAGTAAATGCCCATTTTGAAGGAGGTGATAACCTTATCCTATCAGTGCTATTTAGGCTCCCCATAATTATTGCATTTATTTCTAGTTGCTGCATTTTAAGAGAGACAGCACAAAATAGATTGTGCCGATCAGGAGAACGATCAAAATAGGAAAGGTTGTGGAAGCTTCCTTGACCAGTGAGGAAGAGTGGAAAGAACCGAGAAAGGAGATGGGGAGGAACAGGGTACCTGTGCACATTTGACAAGAGCTGAGTCATGAATAGGGAGTGACTTGTGGCTGATTTGTCCAAGCAGAACCTGACATTGTAGAAGGTGACTTCTACATTCAGAAGAGGATTGAGCTGATTGACCTTGAAGATCTCATCAATATGAAATTCTGTGATTCATTACTTGTTTCTTTCTCATGAGATGATCCACCGTGTATTTCTACCCTGAAAGCCTTTCCGTTTCACTTTTATTTCATCCGTGTCCAAATGCTCTGTAGTCATGCTTATCAAGTACAGTTCTGCAGGCCAGGGGAGGTCTGCCATGACTTTTCCAAAAATCTGAGCAAAGGGTTGGGAGGATATGAGTTTCTATTATAGTTAAATAGAATAAATTTGAAGGACTGACTCTAACTCTGAGAGTTGCTGCCTGACGTTTGTGCTAAAATATCACTTCATTCATGAACAATAGTGCTGGTGGGTGCTAGAGCCAGAGTTGGTGGTCGAGAACACAAGCTGTGGAACCAACCGCCTGGATTTGAGTTCTGGCTCTACCTGGGTCTAGACATGGGACTGGAGGAAAACCGCTGACCTTCTATGGGCTTCTGTTGCCTTATCTATAAACAGGGCTGATGATAACAGTAATATGTATTTCATAGTTTTGTCATGAAGCCTTAACGAGCTAATGCCTATCAGGTTCTTGGAACAGAGCCTTACATAAGCAAATAGTCAAAGTTAACTGCCATTTAAAAATATTTTATCTTTTAACATTTTCATTCAGAAGAATTAGACACTGGTGATCTCATTTCATTAACCCAGATGTTTTAGAAATATTGCTTACCTGGGAAGTCTAAAATCTGAGAACTATGGTTTAATATCACAGGCACATAGAATTCTCTGCAGTGGAGCATTGCATTTGTGACAGACAACATTTTCTCATCTGCTAAATCCATTTGTTTTGGCCAAATTCCATGTTTTCATTTCTGTGTCGCATCAAAGAGATCTGCTCTGTCATTTCTTGGTGACATTCATGAAACTGTATTTAGCTTCTTGTATTAAAATGGCAAGATCACTATTTATTGTCTGTCCTCTGTGCAATGGAATTGATTTTCCTGTGTGGCTGGTAGATGCAATCTCATTACCTGGTCAGATTTCTGCAAGAATTGTATTGTAATACATTTCCAGAACACTTGCTTCTTACGCTTCTGAAAATTATTTCCAATTATATGCACAGGTTCTCCACATGAGACCTTGATCCAGTTTCTTAGCTTCCCTGATTCCACATCTTCATCTCCAAATAGGGGCAGTGACACCTGCCCTGACTGTATCAGAGGTGTTTTTGAAGATCAGGTTAGATCTCATCTGTAAAGACATTTTAAAAATGATAAAATATTCCGCCTGTCTTGAGTTGCTGTGGGAAAAAAAAAAAAGATTTTTGTCAGGAGCTAGCTTCAAGATTTGTATACGTATCTAATTATTTCCAACTTTGCAGTTCAGCTGTAGTTGGGTAACTTTAGAGAGTTAAAATTACTTTAGCATCCAGTTAAATAAAATGCAATTTAGTTTGTGATTTATATCTTATATTCTTATAATTATGTGCAGCCTGTATATCACAAGCCATTAAATGATAGCTATTTGAAATAGAGAAATGGGTGATTTTGTTAGATTAATTTTCACAGTGGACTTTTTTTCATGTGTTTTATTTGAGGATACTGCTTTTTATGTATCCTGGTTATTGGTTAATTATGGTTAAGTGACTTGCTAATAACTGGCCCCAGGAGTTAAGAAAGGACGATTATAAACTAATAACTAAACAATTTAAGATTGGTGAGAGTAAAAAATGCTGAAATGAAATGTGTTCCTTAGAATTAATATAACTAGAAATCTTTGAAAAAATGATTGCACCTTTTAAAATAAATTATTCGGGCCAGGCGTGGTGGCTCACGCCTGTAATCGTAGCACTCTGGGAGGCCAAGGTGGGTGGATCACT